ATGGCCAGCAATAGAGCGGCCAACACATCGATAAAAAGTGTTGAAAATAAGTTTTTCATAATTAATAATTAAGTGCTAAACTATAGCTGAAAACTTGTGAAAACTAAATTGAAAATCATTGTAAAGTGAATGGCTTTGAATGAACTGATATTCGTCTCAACTTTGACTGGACTTCATAGCAATGTTCATAAGTGGACGACAACTAAAAGTTTTGTTCATCTCTTACTGTATTTCAAAACTGATTCCTCTCTCATAAGCCACTCCTCCATAGAAGACATGCCATTGGCATCACTTCCATCTCTTGCCATCATTTCTTATTAACCATAAGAACCCATTAGAACTTGTTATTCATGTGATAACATGTCATTGAAAACTATAGTATAGATAATAACTTGAGTTAAAAAGTTTATCAAAATATATATGAATATCATTACGTATAAAAAGAGATTAATTAAAACTTATATCAATAGTAAAAGTTGAGACAAACTCACAAAAGTTGTTGCGTCAAGTGATTGTTTTCATCGATAACTCATTCAATGTTACAAAACAATTGATATTTAATAAATACTTTGATTTTTGTTGAGTTGTATTAACTGTTGAACGAAATCATGAATTTAATGAGAAGTTACACTCAAGTGAAGCACATCCCAAACATCCCAAGAAGTGTGTTGTGGAGACTGAGTGTCCAATTGGGGCGACAGTTGAGCACAAGTTGTGAGCGAAGGGCCAAACTATGCGCGGATGTGATGGAGGCGGTGGGGGGTGTGAGGGACGGGTCGCGAGTGTTTGTCGGGGGGTTCGGTCTCTGCGGGATTCCCGAGAACTGCATCTCAGCTCTGGTGAGTCGAGGGGTGCGGGACTTGACGGTCATCAGCAACAACGCCGGCGTCGAAGACTTCGGACTCGGATTACTGTTGAGAACCAAACAAATCAAACGAATGGTGTCTTCATATGTGGGCGAAAACAAGGAGTTTGCCAAACAATACCTGTCCGGAGAACTGGAGCTCGAGTTCGTACCGCAGGGAACACTCGCGGAGAGGATTCGGGCCAAAGGGGCAGGAATTCCCGCCTTCTTCACCCCCACCGGTCACCAGACTTTGATCCATTTGGGAGGAACTCCTGTTAAATACAATTCCGACCAAACGGTTGCCATTTATAGCGCACCCAAAGAGGATAGGGTGAGTTGTTGTGCCCGTCCGGGGGTTAACTCTATTTGAATATTAATTTGTATAAAAGGTATTCAACGGGAAGTCATATGTATTGGAAGAGGCAATGAGTGCCGACTTTGCATTAGTGAAGGCCTGGAAGGCCGACAAAGCGGGTAATCTGGTGTTCCGGAAGACTGCCTCCAACTTCAACCCCTCGATGTGCAAAGCGGCCGACTTTTCCATCGTTGAGGTCGAGGAGATTGTAGAGGTCGGCGAAATACCTTCAGATCAGATCCAAGTGCCAGCCATTTATGTGAACAACTTTTTTAAAGGCAAACAATTTCTTAAGAAAATAGAGAAAACAGTTTTGCGAACAAATGAAAATCAGACAACGAATGCAAATATCAATGAAAAGAAATTAAAAGCGATTCGTTTGAGGGAAAGGATTGCAAAGAGAGCTGCACTCGAGTTAACAGACGGAATGTATGTCAACTTAGGGGTCGGTATTCCAGTTCTGGTCACTCAGTACTGTTCAGATAAAATCAATTTTCACAGTGAAAACGGAATTATCGGTACTTTCAAAGTATTATTCAAAATGAGTTCATAATAAATGGTGTGTCGTATGAATGACAGGTATGGGTCCCTATCCCGAAGCCCATGAAGTGGACGCCGACCTAATAAATGCAGGAAAGGAAACGGTGACAGCACTGCCCGGTTCCTCATTCTTTCCTTCCGATGAATCATTTGCTTTAATACGTGGCGGACATCTCGACGTAACCATGTTGGGGGCCATGCAGGTGAGCACCCGAACCACTTTTATGCGATCTATTCATTTGTAGTGTTCACTCTCAGGTGTCGGCAGAGGGAGATTTAGCCAATTGGATGATTCCCGGGAGTCTAGTAAAGGTATTATCTACAGTTCCCTTTGGTTCAATTAATTCAAATGCTTTGTATTTGCTTTTAGGGTATGATTTCATGGATTTGCGACTCATCTGTGAATGATTACCAATTTATATGATTGTAGGTATGGGTGGAGCCATGGACTTAGTATTTTCACACATTGCGGGCACTCGAGTGGTGGTGACAATGGAGCACAACAGCAAAAACGGCGAATCAAAGATTGTTAAGTCGTGTACACTGCCGGTGACCGGTCGGCGTTGTGTTGATTTGATAATCACTGAAAAGGCGGTCTTCCGAGTGGATGACGGACTCACTCTTATAGAAAAAGCGGATGAAATCAGTTTAGATGAACTCCGCAAATGTACGGACTCTGAATTCAAAGTATCGCCCGATTTGAAGTCAATTCAACAGATTTAATTGATTTCAATATTAAGTTTACGTTTACATGATTGATATTTATAATTAATTGGAATTTATATAAATTCTAAAACAAAAAAAGTAAACCAAAAGAAGACTGACTAACGTAACCATTAAATCAATCATTTGATATACAAATCGCGTACAAAATATCCTCCAAACCATGATATCATTTCTCATCAAAGCCGCCGACAAGGAAACGCAAAATAGCTTTAAATTAATTAGTATTAGTATTAGTGATTAAATGATTATAAGTTTATATTTTAATAATCATAATATTCTTACTGTTATTCCATTCAAGAGTATATATTTTAATAAAGTATTTAAAAAAGTTTTCCAAAATAGTTGTCCATCACTTTGAAATTGGATTTTATTCAATTTACTTCTTTGCGGAACAAATGCCACTAATAATGGAAGTGATATTGAGCTCAATATGCGCGAGGAATATATATTTAAAATGATCTATTATAAATTGAATATAAAACCATTAAATGATGTTGAGTATTTAAATTGAATAGATTTCTCACAGGAATGATAAAACTCCAGAAGTGTTTGCTTTGAGATACGAATGGAATATTGTGTGCAATGGATTCAATTGAATTGAAATGACCCGTAATAAAGAAACCGTGGGATGACATCAAATACCATATCATAATTGGCATAAAGTTATTTTCGGAACCAATTCTATGCAATAATATTAAATAAATTGCGGCGAATATACAAATTACTATAAGACCTGAGTTTGAATTGTGTTCATTCACTACAAATAAGAGTTGCAAAACACTGACCCATAGGAACAGTACATATATCACCAAATAGTGTCCTAAATCTTTACTAGAGTTCTTTGTGTCCACTTTTAATGGAAATAGCGATAATGTAGAAATGAGTGAAATACTTGAATAAAGTACTATTTTGGCTAAAATGAGTTCATTTGAAGGCAAAAGTCTTTCTAGAATTATAGGCTCTGCGAGAGACAGAACCCAATGACCGACAATACAGATACTACTCATTACTATTAAGTATTTGCAAAAGAAGTTTGAAAAACTAAAAATCTCTACAATTTGGTACTTATTTAGCAAATAAATCACTAGCGAAACAATTGTCACAAGAAAAATAATGTTAAACATAGGAATAGTTGATTTGTTTACAAATAAATTGAGTTCAGAATAGTTGCAATCATTTTGTTGTTCGTGACATCGATTGTGTTCTCTCGACAAACGGATCAACAAAACCATTGATACACTCAATAAAACTAATAATTTGGGACTAATTTGTTGCTTAAGTGCAGAATATTTAAAGAAAACTAAATCAAATACATATAAAATAACTATTGTTTGAAAAGTAAAGTAAATAATTGATTCTTCGGATACAATGAGTTCTTTTGAGAATAGTATGATTACAGTAATAATCAAAATTGATATAACCATAGCTTCTGATGAGATGCAAGATTTAAATATTTCCCTTAACATAATATTGTATCGTTTTGCTGATATCATTTTAGTCAAGAAAGTAGACCCAATGGGTACCACTATAGAAGTGACAGCACTTAAGAATAGGATATCATTGAAACTGTTCTCATGGAAGGGAAAGTCGAGAACTCTAATCAGATTAGCGGTTATGGCGCCCATCACTAAACCGATTAGCATTTTGAAGCAAAAATTCATTAACTGTTGTTGAGATTGAATCCAATAAATACATGTTATGTTTGCAATACATGACAGACTTATGACAATAAGTCCGCTAATCATGAGTCTGGAGTCAAATGACGCCAAATTGAGACTTAACTGAGTTTTCAATTGTGAGATATAGTCGTCGTATTTATTCCGAAGTTCTGTAAGTGACTGAATTGTCGCCAATTTGTCATCACTTGGGATGTAATTCAAGAGAACCCAACTCCTGTCGTGTCGTTCCAGCAGTTCCTCTAATTGTCTTTGTATGACATTTGGCACAATAGACGCCACATATCTCTGAATCTGCGCCACATTTATCCTCAGAGCAGATATACTGTTCCAAAGCCACTGAATCTCAGCGATGTCTTCGTGACACGAGAACTCTGGAGATCGTCTCACGTGTTGACAATCAACAGAGTATTCAAACAAAGAACTCATCACTTTTCCCACATTAGAGAAAGGGATAGGGATTCCCATCAATAGTGAAAGTGTTGGCACCAAATCTATTTTGTTCACATCATTGGATGGGCTCTGAAATGCAGTCATATTTAGTTGATTTCTACTCAAACTCTTGTCATCTCTTCAAACTAAACCTCAATTAAAGACATTTGTTGTGAACTGAATGTAAAGACAAATGAAGCGCTCCTTTGATCGCATTTATCGGCGATTATGAATAAAATGGTTTTGTTATCGCTCTCTAAGAATGACATAATTCTCTCTAACATTGCATTCATTTGTGACAATTGGTTCACAGTCTTTGAGTGGTTAAAGCCAATGTTGCATACTTTCGCTGACTAATCACCGTTTAGTCTCTATTAGTGTAGGGTCAGTAACCTAACTTAGAGCAGGAGTTCAAAACACGAGTTCAGTATGCAGACAATTACTTTACTTAGTAGTTTTGTAAGACATCAAATCAAGACATACAACTAAAAGTGGTTTTGTCTCACCTCTGGATCAGAACCAAAATGAATGGTTTTGTGAAACAATTGTTTGTCAAAGAATTTGTCAATTGATTTGTGAGCCATTAATGTAATCCGTTTTGATTTACTGCTCAACTGATGCAACAAATTAT